CTTAGGATTACCTTTCATTCACCCTATTAGGATCCTTATCAATGTTAGGTGAATCCGATCAAAATTTCTAGTCGACTTTTGGAAACTCCCATTTCAGAGAGGTGACCCGCGGCTCAGAACAGAGGCAGTGCTCTTTGATCGTTGAAATTAGATTCTTCCTCTCCTCGGTGAAATCCTCGCCGATTTTGGAAGCGCGTCATGTGTAGAAAGAACGATGATCAGTCGCAAGATGGAGGTTACACTTCGTTACTCGTTGAGTTCTTGTCGGTCAGAAATTCGTCATTTCGCCGTAGAACCTTCCCCGGTAACTTACAAAGGCGAGCTTGGCTCGCAGAGAGTGGACGCTGTTGAGCCTGTCCCAGGATAGGAATTACATTTTCTTCTCCCTCGCCGTTCCCGCGCAGCCGAGGGACCTTGATCGGGAATTCATGATCTCGTTGTGGGATCTTTGCGTCGATGCAAACGCCAAGCACGCTCCCCCGAGACACGTAATCGCGAGTAATCGCGGCTTGCGAACGTCGAGGGCGAAACGACTGCTCGCTGAGCTGGCTCGCGTATGCCGCGGCCAACATGTGACGGGCTATAACACGCGCGATGCAAATAAACGTCGCATAATCGTGCGATCCGATCTCCCGCCGATCGATCGTACCCCCCCCCTCTCTCTCTCTCTCTCTCTTTCTCTCTTTCTCTGTCTCTCTCGCTCGCTTCTCCGATCGCACGCCGCGCTGCACGAGGAGGCGTGACGACGCTGATAGCGTCGACTGTCGCCGTCTTCGACCAAGTCAGACCCTGAACTGGATCGGGGTTCATTGTCTGTGACCTTAGCGCGCGCACCTGCTGTGCGCAGTCTTATTCGTGGACACGGGGGAGGCCTCGATTGTTAACTGACGCTCGGCATGCGATCTGCCTACGCCCCTATCGCCGCGGACCTTCCGAGGGCGTCCGAGATTCGAGGAGTCCAAAGGGCGAGCGAGAGAGAGAGAGGGAGGCCACCTCGGTCTCGGTCGCGTGACGCGTACGCGGATGCAACCCCTTCGAGCGGAAGTCGAAAGATTGCGCCCTCGCGGTCGACTCTTCCAGCTCGTCAGTGCTAGCGCTGACGTTTCGCTCGGTGACGTTTCTTTTTATAAATCTCGCGGCACTCGATGATATCACGTGGACGCTGACGGACAATGCAGTTATCCGCGCGATCGATCGGTGACAGCCGACGGGATCGGCTGTCGTCGCGACCGGAGGTGACCTTCGCGGCCGCGCGAAAGTGCTCGCCGGAAACACGCTGTAGCCGCTCCAGCGCCGGCGAGAGATTCCAAGTGAGTAATAATAAAACGCGATCACCGCGGTGCGCCGGGGCTCGGAGGAGAGGACGAGAAGAGGGTGGGAACGATCGGTGTCGTGTGCGATGAGGATGAAATTACGCGCTCGCGAGGCCGCCGCCGCGGCGTTTCCGGCGGCGAGACTTGTTCTTGGTTCATCGTTGGGCGAATCGATCGAAGCCGCGAGCGTAGATAATTGATAATTTTTGCGCGGCGCACAGGTGCATTCGTCGGAAGCACCGAGCTGACAGAATAGACACGCAGGTGTACGGCGGCGGCGGCTCTTTGCTTTGTTTATTAATCGAGTCTCGTCGTTCATTTCGAGACATCAATCACGCGCAATCGTCCGCTGCAGCGGCGAGCCGCGGCGAAGAATGGACACAAATTAAACGGGCGTACTGAATTATCGGAAGCCTGGCGGGAGTCGTTGGAACAAATTGTCGGACTGCCGATATTAATTATATAACGGCCGTTACTTTCCTGCGCGTGTCCCATCAGCTCGTCTCTCCTGAAATATCGCCGTTGTTCGCGCGTCGCATCGAGACTTCTTCTCTGCAGATTTGAATAGACAATGCGGATCGTCGTTCCGTCTCCTCTCTTGTCGCAACGCGGAGCGGACGAGCGCGAGGTTAATATTTCGGATCCCGTCGCACGCTACGAGTTTGTCTCGTTGGGAGTTTTTTTTCTTTTTTTTTTTCATCGGGACTCTTCAGTCTTGCGGCTACTCATTCGCGGCGCACGCTCGACAAACCAGCCGCACGACGGATAAAACATTCGTCCGGGCGTGCGCGGCGTAATTGTCGAGAACGCGGAACTCGAGTCTGCTTTCCTCCGAAAAGATTGCTCGATATGCGGCGATAACAACCGCCCAACTAATGCCGACTGTAATTTCGCTGTCCTCCCAAGAGAATTCGTACACTCGCCAACAATCGTCGTGATTCTTCAGATTTCTCCACGATAATATGCACTCTTTCTTTCTGCTCTTTCTATATATTTTCCTTTTTTCTTTCTTTTTTTCTCGCAACTTTCTACTAGCATTGTATTCCGTAATTGGATGAATCTTTATTGGACCGTAGATTTTTTCTCGTACACCAAAGGGTAATACCTGTGTTTATCTTTCATAAATAAATTAAAAAAAAAAAGTAAAAGAATTAACGACGAATCGGTTGCGCGCATCTCTCGCGTCGATCGTCGAGTAGCCTCGGCCGTGAGCGGCGATTGTCCCGTTCGCGAAGTAGAACGAGCGCGATCATGATCGGACGGGCGCTATTCGGCAAGACCCGGTCTACAATGAGGGAGTAATGAGCCTTTAGCCTTTTACTCTGAGCCCTCGACCGCGACGTCATTTCTGGCAAGAAGCGCTCTCTCCGCGCTGGCAGAAGTCGCGATAACGAGCCCGAGCCTGAGACTTTCGACGTCTGATAGCGCGGGAAACGTCTTTTGTCGGAAATTAAGTCGCAGTCTAGAACAAAGAGCCGGAGGCTCGCTGTGACGCCCATTGTGAGCCGGGCCTAAGGACGATCGTCGCGATCTTGGCAGCTTTTCGCCGCGGCCAAAGTCGTAATCGTCGTCCTCGTCGGGTGGAAGGCGACACCGCGCGGGGGTTGCGATCGAAAGAGGCGCCAGGCGAGGCGAATGCGAGGGGATGCGAGCCCCCCCCTCCGTGTTAAATTAAGGTAAATTAAGGCTGAGCGACGATGCTGGGCGGTGCGGGGGGCTGTGGGCCGCGGGGGTGGCGGGTACATGTGTCATCTGTCGTGCGAACGGCGTATATTCCCGAAGGGAATGGGGATGCAGCCGTGTATGTGTGTATGTGTATGTGTGTGTGTGTGTGTGATGGTACCAGTCACATACACTCGCGCGTCGAGATACCGAATTCCGCGCGCGCGACACGAACGCCCTTCCGGCAACGAGGCTGCCCGAGATGTCCCATTAATTTCGTCATAATTTCGCTCCCGGCCGCGCCGGTCCGGGCTTTTTCCCCCTTTTTAACGCGCCATTTAAAAAGCGCCAAGTGTTGAAGATAGAAATGCCCGGGAACGGACACATCTCGCTTCATCAGCGCTACACCTGCTAGCGGGGGTGACTCCACGCGACGACCTGCTTCCAGTCGCGTCCGGTGCGGTCGAGATGCGTTGTCAGGTTGTCGGTAAAATACATTACGCGCAGGAGCGGACATGTCCGTTCGTTTGTTCCTTCCGTCCGTTTCGCGCGCGGCGTCTGCTGGAAAGTAGAAAACGCGCATCGTTAGGTAAATGCTGCGGGAGCGAGTCTTGTGCGAAATTACAAACCGCTCACTTTCGACCGGCCGGTGCTGCTGGCCGATCAGCCGTCGCTTCATTAGCAACATTGAGATAAACATATATTACATACGTACACACACACACACACACATATTAGATTATCATCTTCTCGCAACCCACTTCTTTCGGTTCCGTTCGCACGCTCAATTTTCCTCTTCGCCTCGTGCTTACTACTCGCCCGCCGTCGCCGCCGCCGCGGTCGGCCTCGTGTTATTCCCGAAACGAGATCGAGATACTTCACGCTCCGCGGCCGCGCGCGGCGAATAGCGATGCAAATTGCGGGCCGGCGCGGCGCAAAAGGAAGATGACGTTTAATTAACTTTCGAAGACGCGCGCCGTCAAAGGGCGCCGTTCCGCCGGCGCCACACGGCGCGGCCGTGTGCGACCCACGCAACGTACACGCGTATTTTCCGCGGCGTGTTCGAGCCATTTTTCCCCTACTCTTTCTCTCTCTCTCTCTCTCTTTCACCGCCGGCAGTTGACCATAAAAAAGACGTAACCCCTCCGAAATCCCCGGGGGTTAACAGGTGAGCCAGCCGGCTGTCGGGTCCGGCGGCGGGTCGAACCGGACCGCGACACACGCGAGGCCTTGTCGAGCGACGACGACGACGACGACGACGACGACGACGACGACGACGGTGGAGGCGGAGGCGGAGGCGGTGGAACGCGTTAACAATCCGCAGGCCGCATCTGGCACGTACGCGCTCTCGTGGTCGATATATACGCGCGCCCACATGTGTGCACACACGTATGCGCGTACGTACAGGCTTATGGACGTGTGTGTGTGTGTGTGTGTTTTGTGTGTATACCCACATAACCGTAGCTACAGTCGGAGAGCTCCTAACTCGCCGTTAGCGAGTCGAGCAGTGGGGTGGCAGCGGAGTGGATGGGTGGGTGGGGTAGGTGGGTGGTTAGGTGGCGGCGAGTGGGTCGCTCGGGTGGTAGCCTACCTAGTCGGGTAGTAGTAGGTGCGCACCCTACGCGGCTACCAGGTGAGTGGGGCAGAGGCCGACCCCTGACACCCGCGGACACGACGACGCGAAACGCGAAAAACCACTTGTGCGTCTCGTCGATGCTGCCTGGCCGTCGCCGTGCTCGCGCTCGCGCTCGCGTTTCCCGCAGCTCTTAGTTCGCGTCCTGGTACGCCGCTGCGACGTCGTGCGTCCTCAGCTCGGCTCAGCTGGTGAGGAGAGAGAGAGAGAGAGGGAGCGAGTGAGAAAGCGGAAAGAGAGAGAGAGAGAGAGAGAGAGGTAACGCCTCTCCAGTCAGCTCTGTCGTATGTTTGCTCTTCTGTCTCTTCTCACCCCTTTGCTCTCTCTCTCTCTCTCTCTCTCTCTCTCTCTCTCTCTCTCTCTCTCTGTCTCACCGTGACACACATACACGCACATTTACTCGCCTTTTTCTCCCTTCCTTTCTCCCTCACGGTATATTTCTATCTCTTTCACCTTGCCGGGAGACTCCCCGAAGTAGCGATCGAAAGTGATCTACGCAGACCGGCTGCGGGCGGACGTAGATCGTCGAGTGCGACGCGTCGACGGCGTGAGAAAATAAAGGGTGTGTGTGTGTGTGTGTGTGTGTGTATGTGTGTGTGTGTGTGTGTGTTGGCTCGTTCTCGAGCAGGTCGCGCGCGCGAGATTTCTGTCTCTCTTTCGCGACGGAGAGGTGGCCGGGTGACGACGTGCGGCTCTGTCGTCTCGTCTCGTTTCGTCGTCGTCGTCGCGGCGCGGCGCGGCGCGTCCAGGCGTTTTTCGAGAGCTCTCCCCGACGAGAGCGAGTCCGGAGGTTCCTCTGGGTGCCGACGAGGAAATACTGCGGGTGAGTCGAGCGTCCGGCGGGAAAGATAAAACGTGCTTCGCGGGGTATAGATTGCGAAATGATGCAAATGTCAGGGATACGGTTTCCCGCAGCGGAGCGACGTGCGTTAGGATTGAAAATTCAAGGGTGGGAAGTGCTTGATGGGCCAATCTTGCAGGCGTACGTAAGAGGGGGAGAAAGTGATTGAAATAAGTGCGACAGTTGCGCGATTGTATGACGAGTGTCAACGCGTGATTAATGCACGCAGTCTAGCGAGTCGAATGTATGTAGTAGTCGAATGCAAAGAGTCGAAAGTAGAGATTGCGGCGGAGGAAAGCCACTTCCAAAAGTGGATGCAGTCGGATTTACTCGGGAATTACGCGTGGAAAATGTAGAGAATACGGAAACAGAAATATAAAAGGCGTGGAAGTAGCAGCAAAGATCAAATTACGAAAGAATGGCATTCTACAAGAGGAGAATAAAAAGGACGCAACGCGCGGAGTCCGGAAACTGTTCTTGGCGTTAGCAGCATCTTGCATTTTCTCCCTGAATTCGGATTATACGATGGCGCACGCACACACACACACACACACACACACACACGCGCGCGTGTGCTTGTCCGCATTGTTGATAGCAGTCGATGTCGATCGAAAGAAAATTAATAGACACGGGCGTTTTCAGAAGCGTTAGTTATCGAAAAGCGCTTCGGTTTCGGTTTGGTGCACTTCTTTCCCGCCTGGATTCTCGGCGTATCCTTGTGGCTCATGTCATCACGAAATCAGCCTTGGTGTAAGCTGATATCGTGATACCTTTCTTCGAATGTTGAGATTCGATTTGAAGTCGAAGCGGTCAGATTCCGTCGCGCGCCTAAGACCGAGGACGACTCGTGATCTCGCGAACAATCGCGTTGTATTGACGAGAGCGAGTGAAGCGCATTTCTTGTCGAAGTTCTTTGTCGACTTCTTGGCGAAGGAAATATTATCCCGAGAATTCGTGTGCGGATTGTCCCGATTTTCGCCGGAGAAATGTCCGCGCGCGCGCGCGCGTCGTTGGCACGAAGAATGTCGTGTAAAAAGAGCCGTCCTCGTCGTTCGTCCTCGAATGTACGGAGATGTAATTCCTCAGACGGTCCAAGTAGATCTCGTCGATACGAGATCCTCGGAGGATCACGTGACGTCGATAAGAGGAAAGGCAAGCGGCTTCATCGATCCGTCCCGAGCCTATCCGGGTGCAACTAGGCCGTCTCTCAGGATCCCCAATGGAGACAATCCGTTGTAGATCCTGGAGAGGAGTTTTCCGGGATACTCGTCCTCGCGATACTCGAGAAAAATCGGAAAAATCGTCCATCGGTGATTAAAAAAGGATAAAGCGTCGCGACGGGATGAGGCCGGCGAACATTACAACATCTAGAACGGTCCTTTCTCGAGCACCAAAATTTGTGGCGTTGTAGAAAAATCGTTTCCTCTTTTTTTTCTTTTTTATTTTTTATTCTTTATTCTTCATTTTTACTTTTTTCATCGTCAGCGTGCGCGTGTTTATAATGTGCGAGTAAAAATGCTTACCCTACTGCTGCCGAAGTCGCGCTATTGTTATTTGAGGTAACGGCTAATTATAAAGGTTAAGGGTTGGACTGAAGTGTGCAGCAGGACGGCGACGCAATTTCCAGCCGGGAGAGAGAGAGAGAGAGAGAGAGAGAGAGAGAGAGAGAGAGAGAGAGAGAGAGAGAGAGAGAAAGAAAGAACGGATCGTGGAGCGCTTGAAACGAATATCACGCGAAACGTGAAAGAGGAAATGGCCGCTTGCGAAACGCGATGCGGATTATGCTAATCTTATTTCGCGCGCGCATGCGGCGCAAGAGAAACGCGCGCGTGACGTGAAATTATACTGATAAATAAAATGAATTGTCCCGCCGCGTCCTCGAGGAACAATATTATCGTCTGAGGCATTAACGAGTATTATCCGATTAATATTAATTAACGAGTATTATCCAGGGGAGTAACGCGGAACGGTGCAACGCGTAAGAAATACACTGACGAGAAAGACGGACGAGAGAAGGACGACAGATAAAGAGCCGAGCGCGGAGACGGACGAATTGTAAGATTAACGCGATACACACTCGCGACAGAGACATTTATTTTTAAACAACTGCGAGAAACGGAGAGAGAGAAAATAGGGCATAGCTGCCGTCTAATTCAGTGATATCCATTAAGGGAGAGAAAAGACAAAGTTGGAAGACTGACAAAGACGAAGACTGATCAAATGTGAAACTCACGATAAGGAAGTTTATTATTGAACATTTGTGAGGAAGGGGGGGAGAGAGAGAGAGAGAGAGAGAGAGAGAGAGAGAGAGAGAGAGGGAAAAGAAAGGAAAGAAACAACGTTGAATAGAGACGGACGAGTTGTGTAGAAATCGCACGATACACTTAGACGATAGAGACGCCGATTGTCGAACAATGCGAGAAAAACGGAGAGAGAGGGCAAGAGAGAGAGAGAGAGAGAGAGAGAGAGAGAGAAAGAGAGAGAGAAGTGATGCGAGGAACATGCATCACTCGTGCGTCTGGTCGGGCTAATTGATCCAGAATGGCCGTCGGTAGCCGGATTGTCGTGCGTTGCGACTCAGTCTCGCAGACGCAACGCGGTGAATGCGAACACGACGCACTTGTTGCACGCGCGAGTGCGCGCTAATTTATTAATTTTCCGCGAAGCCCGGTCTGCCGGCTCGCGCGCGGCCCGTCGCGAAAGGCCGCGTCGTGTTATCTCCGCTCGCGCCTCGTTGCGCTTCGTCGTCGCCTCGCTCTCCTTATCGGGCGCTCCCGCCCGTTAAAAAGCCACCTCCGTTTTCGGGCTCGCCTTCATATTCATCAGCGGCATTTCCGTTCCGCGTCTCGTCATCGTTGCGCTACGGTTCTTATCGTCGCGACGCGATCCGCCGCGACGAATCGCGCGTAATGCGATTACATTACGCTGCAGTCGTTCTTATCGTCATGATTGTCGCTGTTGCATTATGTTAATGGGGCGGCTCGCGATGTTTCTGCAAACAGAGCGACGCGGCGCGGCGCGGCGGCGCGACACGTCCCCCGCCGGAGGATCATAATTCAAGTGTGTGACGGCGAAACGGTGGTTCTGCTTTCGGTCTTTGGACTCGCGGATCGTTTTGTCCGCCATTTATCATCCCGGCAGTGGGAGGGGGGGGGCGGCGGCAGGAGGGGTATCGCTGTCAATTTTCCATAGCAGCCGCGCGAGACTTTTTCGATCCGCTCCGTACAGCGGTTTTTCCCCTCGACCTCGTTCGGAAATCGAGAGGAAGCCTCGGCAGCGGGAGAGCGAGCGAGCGAGCGAGCGAGCGAGATGGAGACGACGAGGGAGAGAGAAAGAAAGAGAGGGCGCACACACGTGAGCCCTCGTTAATGCGCAGTGTCGCATACTTCGGGGGATCGATGTTCCCGCGTAGAGAACGAATGAAACGATCGGTAAAGCGGAACTGAAATAAACCACCCCTGATGTCGGCCTGATCCCCGCGTTCTCGCGATTTATACCTCAAGCTTTCGCGACTACGTATGCCCGTTGTCGATGTTGGAAACTCGCGGGTAAGCGTGGGGGGTTGAACACGCAGAGAGACACCCTTGAAGCCTGACGCGGCGCGGCGCGGGGTACGTATAGTCGGCGGCAAAGAGGTCGCGACACCTTTCGCGTCGATTTCGTCTCGGAACAGGTGAGTCTCGTCCCGACTAGAAATTTATCCTATGGTCCTGATCAGGTTAACCTCATTTCGACCTCATCAGGTCCCAATAAGGTAATACTATCGGGTCCTAGTAAGTCATGTAAGATAGCAGCGTGGATGATACCAGGAATCCTCAGTAAGGATTCATAGTCAGGTCCTTATTGAGTTACTTTATGGAATCCTTATTACGTTTTTTTTTTTTCAAATTATGGCTCCTGATTACTCGCCACGGCTATATTGGATGATGACATTGGAAATAAGAAATGACACGCTGAAAATTCGTTCGTGTCATTTCCAAATAAAAAGAGATTTGCATGAAATAATATTTTAGATCGCTCGAGCATACTTGTAAAATGTTTCGGAAAAGAAACATAAGATGAATATCATGAGATCATATAAAGTATCACAAGGTGACAAGGCATAAAGTAGTGTAAAAGAGAAAAGTTGTGTGTCTACAGCATTTTACAAATATATTCAAGTGATCTGAAGTGTTTTCTCAATGCAAACATCTTTATATTTGGAAATGGCACCCAAAAATTGTTTTGTTAAAACTTGGTAATGCAAATCATATTAGGTACAATGAAGAAGATCCCGACAAGGACCTGATCAACTGAACCAAATTATATCATACACTGAAGTTGGTACATTAAGGTCCTAATGCGGACCCAATCATTATAACCTTATAAAGGTCTTCCTTACTCATTTGTCATTAGGACATTATAAAGACTGACTTACTTAGGATTACCTTTCATTCATCTCACTTAGGATTACCTATTGGGTCCTTATCAATGTTAGGTGAACCTGATCAAAATATCTAGTCAGGGTGAGGGAACTCATTCTCGCGACTTCGGCCGTCGCTCAACGAGGTCAACAGAGGGGAAGGCGAGGGAGAGAAGGGACGTGTTGCGAGCCCTCGCCGCGAGGGCTGCGCGATCGGATGGTGAAAACTCGCGAGACTTGTCGGTCATCCAACAGGAAAACGTCGCTGTTACCTGGCAATTGTGAAGAAAGCCCGCCGGTGTGGCTGCGGAGTGCGCGCTGCGAAACTCACCGAGAAGAGAAGCGCGTTGCAAGATCGCACAAGGTCGCGAGAGGAACAATTCCGTTAGCGTAACTGAATCGGCCGCTGCCTGCTGGAAAAAGTGCGACCGAATGAGAAGCTCGATCAAATAGGAGCCGAAAGGCACCCGCGGGAAGTTTTTAATCACTCAATCGTGCTCTCCGTTACCTCGAGCGGCTTTTCAAACAACCGGGGGCCTGTTACGGCGTATCGAGCGCTTAGCGCAAATGCGCCCTTCTGCTTTACGAGCTGAAGCAACTTCACACACGCGGCTTGCTCGTGAGAAAAAAACGGAAGAGTGGGAGGAAAAAAAGGACGTGCTCGACTACACTTCCGAATGTTCAAACCGAGACATTTCTCGTTACCGAGACGTTTGTTTAGTTACGGCGGACGTGACTCTCCTGCGAGCTTCGGAACGTATCCCTCGCCCCCCCCCCTCCCCATCGGGAGACAAATTCGCCCACCGGGCCGGACGGATGCGTTCTGTAAAACTCGCGCGAGAAATTACACGGACGAGCTTCCTGGTCGCGAGATCTCGAGCGGAGAAACTCGAGCGGCGTAGCGCGGCGCGCGGGCAAGGTAGGCTGTGTTGCATTACGCAATCGCACGGGACGTTATGTGGAAGGAACTTAGGCTCGTCAGGCTCGGTGGGAAACGCTGAATGAACCGAGCGAAAGTAATGCTCGATGACACGCAACGCGTCGCAGTTTCGTGCGCGCTCGCGCTATCGCGAGCCGCGGTCGCGCCAATTAATGCGGCGCTTTTCTTGCATTTCCAAGTCGGCGGTCGTACGACGTTGTGCAAAAAACACTTGTTGTTCGGCTGCTGAGTATGTGGAATAAGGCACGGTTCACACGTCGATGCGGCGTGATACATGCTGGATGAACGTTACGTCCGCTATCGATCGCTGACGTGTAATAGAAATAGCAGGACGTGCGTTAACTCTCTCTCTCTCTCTCTCTCTCTCTCTCTCTTTCCCCCTTTCTCTCACCCTAATCCACCCTCCTACGATGTTACACGCTCGGAACGAGCGCGACGCGCAGACCGGCATCACGCTCTTCTAATCAAGCAGGATAAATCCGCTGGGAGATAAAAATTAAACGGCAGAAAAAACCGGGGGAAACGACAATCCGCGCAGGCGAGCGCGACGAACGCGCGCGTGTCCGCCTTATTTTAAGTCTCTAACTTTGTCCTTCTCCTCGTTTATTGTCGTCCGTTGGTTCATTCGCTCGCGAAATGCACTCGTACGCTCCTCCTGCCCCGCCGCGCCGCGCAAAAGGGCGCAAAGAGACTTCTCTCTTTCTCGTTTTTGTTTTCGGAAGCATCGCCGCTTCGGTTCTTCGATTCTTCCCCGCTCGGTTGGGGGAATAAACAGACTGCTGCGAGAGCAGCGAAGCAGCTTCGTGCTCGCTCGAGCTGCGCGCGTTGAGAACATTCGAGACAAATCAAGGAGCAATTTAGCCGCGAGATCGATCAGCGTCTTATTTACATTTTCGACCGACATCCCGCGTTGGAAACGCGGAAACGACGTCCCGCGATCTTCCAACTGTTGTGCTCGTATCCTCCATTATTCATCAATTCGATCATGCCGACGACAATGTCGATTTCGTCGTCTTTGGAGCCTGCAAAACGGATAACAATAGCCCAATAAATTCTCCACGATATTTGCAACCGTATCATACTCGCGCTATGTATCGCGCCATGTTGAACGCGAAGGACAAGCTAGGTCGGGGTAAAGGGGGCTTGTCATTATGCGAACACACACACACACACACACACACACACACACAAAGCTTTGTCCGTCATTTTTCATCTCTCTTACGATTTTCCACGTCCGTCCACGCGCCGCCGCTACGACGAGACTCGACAGATTTGCCCCCATCTGTTGATAAGTCGCGTTCGACGCTGAATGAGACGTAATTTATGCCAGCCGTTCCTCGCGGCTGTAATTCACCGCGTGTGTTCCGAGCGAAACGTATTCGAAACGTCAAACAAGTAGTCGCTCAAGTCACGAAGGCAAATGCAAAACCAACTGAACGGCCGCAAGGCGAAATAGGACGGGGGAAGTAGGAACAGTTTTCTCATTCTCTCTCTCTCTCTCTCTCTCTCTCTCTCTCTCTCATTCTCTCTCTCTCTCTCTCTCTCTCTCTCTCTCTCTCTCTCCCTCTGAGCAGGGCGCGCCATCGCGATTGGATTTAACGAGTCGAGAATTAATCCCCATCTCTCCGTATCTCCGGACTCGCAGCAACGGCCCGTCGTCTGACTAGCGACGGCCTTTTCCACTGACTCGTTCAGAAGTCCAGAAGCGCGCGCGCGTGCGCTTCTTCCAGAAGTTGCTCGCACGATCGTCCGTACGAAGCGGGAGCGCGATTTTTCGGGTTGATTTCGGGCGGAAGAAAGGAGTCGCCAGAGTCTCCCTCCTCCCTCCCTCCCTCCCTCCCTCCCTGCCCCCCTCCCGGTTTTTCATGCGATCTGAGATTGTCGGATCTCGCCGACTCTCTCCGTCTTTCCGACTTCCCCCCATTATCTTTTTTGCCTCCTCGCGAAATCCAGCCGGCGGCTGGCAAAAATAGAAACTGTCATTCGATAAATCGATCCCGCGTCGGCCAAGCCGGCCGCGAGGGAGGACTGTGCTTGTTATTACCGGCCGCGCTCGCGTGTGTGTGCGTGTGTATGTGTGCGCGTGTGCGAAGGTAC